TTCTACATAATTTTTCTAGTTCTAGCTTCCAGTTCACTGATATAATCAAGTACAACTCTTACTCACTGAGCTTTTATTTCAATTCCATTTTTCTGGAAATGTTTTGAAATTTGCTCTTTTTAAAAATGTATTTAGTACAAGGTCTAAAGGGGTTTCTTTACACAGATTGGACTCACAGTGATCCTCCTGTTTTTCAGCCTTCCAAGCATGGAATTACAGGTACATGCCACCATGCCCAGTCTCATTCGCTGTCTCAAAAGGCCCTGGGGGTGGGGCTGGCATGGCATGCCAGAGATCAAATCCCAGTCACTGCGCCTGCTTAAGCAGGCACTTTAGTCCGCTGAGCTATCTGGCTGGCCCAAAACTTGCTCTTCTTATGTCTAATACTATTTTTATTTCTTAAACATTTTCTGATCTGCCCAGTAACTTCTGAATCTAAAATGTTTTCAGGCCTGATTCTGCTCAGCACTTTCCAATTGCTCTTATTTGAAAAGTGTTTTTTTCTGCTGATGCATTTTGTGATATATTTATTGCAATTGCTTATTTTCCTTACAACATTATCTGGAGAAATTCCAAGGAGTACTAAATAATGATTAATTCTCCCATAGAGGGTCTGTGTTAGCTTGTTTTAGGCACTACAGAGACACTACCATTTTTAGAGTCACTTTAAGTAAATTCTTAGCATGAGGTTTTAAAAACAGCATGATTTGGGCTACAAACTCAAATGAAGGCCAGATTCTGTACAGTTATCAGATTTTCAAAAGAGACAACATCAAGGTTTGAGAAAAACAATTTTACTTGTACAGGAGCACATGAGTATACCCTGGGATTCCAAACTTACTGGTGGGAAAAGAAGGGATTTCAATAATATTTTCTACTATCAGTCAGAACCAGAGATTCATCTTTTGATTTCTTTCTTCTTTTTTTTTTTTTTTTTTTTTCAGAACCGGGGATTGAACTCAGGCCCTTGCGCTTGCCAGGGAAGCACTTATTCCACTGAGCCATCTCCCCAGCCCCTCATCTTTTGATTTCTGACATCTATAACACAACAAAGCTGTGATAATTGATTTAGCAAATGTCCTTAAGGCTAATATCTTCTTTAGTGCTTTTACTTTTCTGGATGCCTAACTTCACTTAAGTGTCCTCCCTTCATACTAGTGATGAGTAACTCAGGGTTGCAGACAAGGTTTTGCTAAGTTGCAAAGCTGGGTTTAAACTTGCAGTTCTCCTACCTCAGCCTCCCAATAAATTTGAGTTGAAGGTTTGTACCACTATTCTGGCTTCACTTAAGTTTTTGGCCTGGGCATTCCATATTTCCTTTCCAGGAAATTAAGCTGCCATTTAAAATTATGTTTACCTGGAGGATTTCCAGAAAAAAAGGTCTATATATAATATAGTGCTTTAAGTACAGGAAAATACTAAATCTGTGCCAGAAAACTAGGTTTCAAAGAATTATTCTATCTTATCAAATATCATCCGTTGTAGTTAATTCACCATAACAAACCCTCCTGATAGATCTTATCCTCAAATTGCTGTTTATTTTTGAATACAGAACTCTATTGCTATCAACCTAGTTCTGGGTCTTACGTCTTTTTAGCTAAGCTTCTAAGGGTTTGGAATGTCTAAAACAGCCTGCACATTGTTAAAACTAAGTTTTCTAAAATGATGGCTTTCTTAGCAGATCAAAGCGCCTCTTTAGGCAGATGCAGGGACCGGGGTTTGATCCTCAAGTGTGCTCTGCCAACCCCACCCCTGGGGCACGCTGAGGCAGAGATTGATACTGGGCATGGTGGTACGGGCCTGTAATCCCAGAGCTGGGAAAGCTGAAAACAGGAGGATCACTATGAGTCTGATCTGTGTAGTGAAACCTTGTAGACCCTGTACTAAATACATTTAAAAGAAAAACACTGGCTTTGTTACATTAGTCTTCTTTTACAAAATCTTCATCATCATTTAATAATACGTTTAGCTCCAAAATGTCAACATTCTATTATCTAGCTCTACTTTTTGTTTTCTAGCTCTTCTTTACCTATTCAATATAAATTCTCAGCCCCAAATAGGCCTATCTTGTTTTTGCCTTCTGCATAAGCCATGAGTAAGTACTTCTCCTAATGTGCCTGTGATCTGCAGCCTTAACTCATCATACCAATTTTTTCAGGTCTCTCTCTTTTGCAAAGTTTTCCCTGATAACTCCCAACACACTTGCTCTGCTTTTACTTTCACTGAGCTCTTGTGTGTATGGTCATACATTAATTAATTTTATTCAATTAGATACAATTGTTTAATATTTGAAGTTAGGGGATTTTAAGTTGCTTAACCAGAATTCTAGTCTAAGTCTTACTCTAAAGTTTGTGTTCTATTATATAAAATTGTCTCTCAGTATTCAATAAAAACTGTTGATTCATGTAAGCGTACTAGATTCCATAAAATCAGAACAATGCTTCACATTTAACTGATTTATCTTAGGTTAGAACAAAACAGAATCTTAAATAGCATTAAATTTGTGAGACTTTATTCATTTAAACAAATTTCTTAGAAAATTCTCTCAAAAAGAACTCACAGTCACTTTATAATAAGGCTAATTATCTTCTAAATGTAGTCACCGAGTCTCTGCATCACTATTCAAACTACATAAAATCATCATTCAGGGTAAAGGCTATTCCTAAGATTGTAATGGCTACAACATTTACAAGCAATGGCTGCAGTAATGGCTTCAACACCTAGAAGCTGACTTGAAGGGCCACTCCAAAAAAGATACTAAAAACCCTGGTTTTAACATTGATATTGTTCTGCATTAAAGTAGGTGGTATCACATCAAATTCATACAATTTATGAAAATGTACTATCTCTAGCCTAGATTTCAACAATCATGATAGACACAGTTACTTGGGGTTTATAATGTAGAATCCTCATCTTCTTATTATTTTTTAATCATTTATGTGGTACAGGGTCTCGTAACATAGCTCAGACTCATAGTGGTCTTCCTGTATCAGCCTCCCTGGTGCTGGGATTACAGGAGGATGCCACCATGCCTGGTTTCTGTGGCTGGCATGGCGACATGGCATACAGTCCCAGAGAGGACTGAAAAAATGTGGGTCCCTGTGCTTGCCAGGCAGGCGCTTAGACCACTGAGCTATCTCCTCAGCCCTAGAATCCTCTTCTTGCATTAAAGTGCTCTTGTCTCTTTTTTTTTTTCTAAGTATATATACTGTAAGAAATGAATGCAAATATTGAATTATCTTGAATAATTTGTTGTTTTTTTTGGCGGAACCGGGGATTGAACTTAGGCCCTTGCGCTTGCCAGGTAAGCGCTTATTCTACTGAGCCATCTTCCTTGCCCCTATCTTGAATAATTTGTCAGGATAATCTTTTTGGTTTTTTCAGTACTGGGGACTGAACCCAGGGCCTTTGCACTGGGTTACATCACCAGTCCCTTTTCATTATTTATTTTGAGACAGGGTCTCCCTAAGCCACTAAGTGGCCCAGATTGGGCTGAGTTCAAACTTGTAATCCTTCTGCCTTATATTAAGAGCTAAGCTTTTAATATAAAAATAAAGAATGTTCTTGTTATGTAAGTTCTTTAATTGTTACTTAATTCTAGGTAAATATGAGAGGATAGACTGGAAAAAATCAAACTGTTTCTAGGATTTCTATCATAGGACAGTGTTTGTCTCTCTTACCTTTCCTGTTCTGTCCTTCATCAACACAAACAGGCAGACTTTGTATGGCCATACAGAAATCCAGACAAGAAAAGAAAGCACACTAAAATAATGGAGGGCAGGCTACAAGACATGGACAGTGTCAGCATCATGTGGGAGAAAAGAAGGAATTATCAGTTAATCACTTTGTTCAAGAGAAACTAAAACAGGTTATTTCAAAGGTGGAAAGGGAAAGAAAAGAAAAGAAGAGAAAAGAAAAGAGGAGGAGAGAGAGAAGAAAAAGAGAAAAGAAAGGAAAGGAGGGAGGGAAGGATGGATCTTTATCTTTTACTTGTTTGTAACAAGGTTCCTTTCAAAAAGCGTAGAGGAGAGAAGCAGTTAATTTGGAAATTTGCTTTAGAGGAACAAATATAACTTAGCAAGTACTACAAAGGTACAAAAGATATACAAGACTCCAGTTGAAAATGTTAATCAAGAGATATAATTATAGGCTTTGAGAAAAGAAAAAAACTAGAACTATAATCTAGAAGCAGTTGAGAGTTATTCTTTCTTCTAGAGAACACAGACTATTAAAAGCAATAGAAATCCCAATGTTTAGTTATAAAAATGATGAATGAGGATGTGGACCTAGTTATCTTTAATTACATGGCATTGGCCTTATGCTATGAAAAGCAATAAAACTGTCTCATTTAACAGCAGATTCTAGAAAACAAAGTAGCCCTCCCAAGAAGCCCTTCCACACCAAGGACAATCATCTTCACATATATGTATGGTGCATTTCTCCTCTATGCTGCCCTTCTACTCTTGCTCTAATATCTCCCAAATCTAAATATCACAATGCTTGAAAACCCATTTTTCAAGACAAGAGTTTCAAATTTAATGCAGCCTTTGTAACTCAGTATTTCCCCCCAAAACACAGGATGTTTGTCAAGTTTGAAGCTACTCAGACTGGCAGCATAATTCTGCTTCTTGGCTTACATTTCTTCATGATAGAAATAATTTTTAAAAGATGGACACCTAAGTGGGTTGAAAGACAGAAAAGAGGATACAAAGCCTGAGAAAAACTATTACACAGTCCAGAAATCAGGTTTTCATTATGAAAACATTGTTAAGTCCTTTGTTTATAAGATTTAGACACTTAAAAAATGAATATTTAGGCTCAACAAAAATAAAGTTATAGTATTTTTAAACAAAGGAAATGACATATTTGTCAAGGCTGAATTGTTTGCAAGATAAAATGGATTTTGGTAAAAAATGAATCCATTTAAAATTTTTAACTGATTTTGTTAATTCTATTAACATCGGAATAGTCTATCCAAATTTATTAAATAAAATTCATACCTCATACTCTTTTCTGCAAACTTTGGAGATATCACTCTTTGAAGATGCCTAAAAGCCAACAAATTTCCCCATTAATTTATTTGACACAGAAAAAAAAAGAACAGAAATTAATGTATGTTAATTTCTGGTATAACATTTTTACTTCATCAAGAAACACCCGATAGTTAAATACTTAAAAGTTCTTAAAATCTAATAAATTTTAAGCAATATCTTTAAAACAAGCAATAGCAACTATTCAACATGCTAGAGCATCACTCTAACTTTTATGCTTTTCATTTTACATAATAATAACATGGTTCTTTTGTTATTTAGGAAACTAGATGACTTTGAAGGCAATGTAAGTCAGAAGACTTTTTTTTAAACTAAATTCTGCTCTAGTGAGTTTTCTTATGAAGCTTTGCCACAGAAAATTTTCCTGTGAAGCTATGCCAGGGCACTTATATTTTGCTTTTTCCTTAACTCTTTAAATTCAAAGTTTTTCTAGTGAATGCGCTAGCCCAATTCCTTCAGAAAAACGTTATTTATAATGGAGAGGCTGATTAAAGAAAGGATGAGTACTATGCTAGACATTCAACAAAGGTTATTTTTATGTAATTTGCTTAACAAGTTTATAAAGAAGTTATTGTCCACCCTATTGATTAGGAAACTGATGCTCAAAGAAACAGCAAGTTATTTACTATTTAAAGTACATATTTGTAAATAAAACAAGCCAAAACAAATCTGCTCAAGGGTGATTATTCTTTCACATGGTATCAGTCTTCATTTAAAGATAACAGTTCCAGAGACATGAGATCTGGGTCCCTTGTTTTCTTTCTTCCTATTCTATCACCTAGGCCACGCAATTTAGAAGAAGCCAGCTGGTGAGGATGGGGAAGACAAGGATCAGAATGGGTTAGCAAATGCTTTATGTCTTGCTACAACTATTACAGTTCAAATTTTCTACAACTCAGTTTCACTTCAACATATAGAGATAGCAGCAGATAGTTAGGTCATGTACTGCCCAAAGAGTGTTATTTAGGCTGCAATACACTGGTCTGTGTAAGACCATGTCTCCAATACTCCTGTCCAAAGATGCATCCCTAGAACAAAAATTTAAGAGAAGCCTTCTCAGTTGTGGTTTCAGATCTATTTAAATGGTCATTGAAATGACCAGTTTCCCATTAAGTCTACCTCTGTCACTTGGAGTAGAAAGTTAAGGAGGCTGGTTTTCCCATTCTGAGGTACCACTATGAATATATGCAGCGAGGGAGAACTCAGGAGCCCAGCTAGAATGTGACTAGAGAAGACAAGCCTGAACTCACAGTAAGAGTCACACTCCCATTAGGAGCACATAGGAGATAGGAGAACATGCTCAGAAGAAAGCTGCAGAGAAAAAGGAAGATGAAAATGAAATAAACAACTGTGCCTGCTGCTCTCATCAAAGCATATTCAACGTTTATATGAACACTTGCAGTGTGGAGGTCAGCAATGACTTCATGGAATGAAGTATGGAAGTCTTGATTCTTATAAAATTCTTTCTTTCAGTGGCAAAGAGAGGGAAAGGTAAGAAAGCATGTAAGATAGCTGAGGGTCTTACATCCAGTGGTCATAAATGAAAAAAACACCAATCTAAAAGGAAATGGTCTATGCAAGAAACGCTAAATCTGAAATTTCTGTGGGTCATCTCTCCAAAGCTATGAGGGAGGCAAGGCCTAAAAGATATGGCCATCTAAAATCCAGGCTGTAATCCATGATGCTTAAAAAAGCCCAACTACCCATTGTTACCTGCTTGCATGCCTGTCGACACTCCAAGGCAATCGCCAGCTCACAGCAGCCTAAGCCAACCCAGCCATCAGACTTCTTAAACACACCTTAAAAATGTTCAGAATTTTTGGTCATAAGTAGTGACAGCAGGGCCTTAAAATTATTAAGACCTCCTCTCTATCCTTACTCCCAAGACTATCACCCTGAGT